AGGTGAACATGCAAATAACTTGGGAAGCAGCAACCTTAAAGACCATTTACTTTTACTAAGAAAACACTAACTACCAAATGCTACCACTTACCTGGAAAGAGAAGAAGAAATGTGGGCTATCTGGAGACCTGATCCAGGGCCCAAATGTAGTATTAAGGATTAGCACTATATTATGAGATACAGTCTTCAGAATATTTTTGTTGGTCTATTTTGCAACCAAGGCCTAGACTCTTTACAATTAAAGCATCCTGCTCTGTATAATAATTTTTTTTTCTATTTAACTAATGCACTCAACCTTCTACCAACAGCTGGTATGTGGCACAATCATCACTAAGTCCTTCCACAATACACAGAGCAATCGCTGCTCTTTAAACACAATATAAAGGAAGATAAGTGTCCAGCCTCAATATGGTTGGAACTCCTTCTTAGCAATTCATTCTTAAACCATAGACTTTTAGGCCCAAAAGGCAAGAAAGTCAGGCTCAGCATACATGATCTCCTGCTCGTCAGTGGGCCAGATCAGTGCCTATCTCTGACAAAACTATCATTCACCTGCAATGATGCAAGAAAAATCGAAATAACATATGTTTTTAAAAATCTAAGTCTATACAATTTATGGGTACATGCCTTTGGCTATTAAAGATTCTCTCTTTATAAAATGATGAGGGGCTGGGCGCGGTGGCTCAAGCCTGTAATCCCAGCACTTTGGGAGGCCGAGGCAGGTGGATCATGAGGTCAAGAGATCGAGACCACCCTGGTCAACATGGTAAAACCCCATCTCTACTAAAAATACAGAAAATTAGCTGGGCATGGTGGTGTGTGCCTGTAATCCCAGCTACTCAGGAGGCTGAGGCAGGAGAATTGCCTGAACCCAGGAGGCGGAGTTTGCAGTGAGCCAAGATCCCGCCATTGCACCCCAGCCTGGGTAACAAGAGCGAAACTCCATCTAAAAAAAAAAAAAAAAAAAACATGGTAAGGACAGCAGAGAGTAATGTTCTTAATTGGAAAAATTAAAACTTGACATACTGTTGGTCTCCCAATCACTTTTTTAAAAATTTGTATTGATTCAGAATAAAATCTAACTGCCTGAGCTTTCCTCCCTGGAATTATGAGAGTAGCTATTCATGTGTAAAAATTCATCAGAATTTACCAAAAATCACACAGACCACAGAGTCAGGCTGCTTTGAAGCAGCAAAGATGGCAGTGTCCACAGACAAATGACCCAAATAGAACACACAGTCTGAAAGTAGAACGTGAACCTGTGACCCTCAATACCCAGGAGCCTGATATCTGTAACAAAAGTTAATGTGAAGGAAATAAACAGTTCCAGTAGAACGCTGAATGCATGGAGTGTAGCAGTGTGTTAGCAAAATGGCAAAAAATTCATATAGCATTGAAGTTGGACTTCACAAGCTAAGACATCCAACAAAATCCAAAGAAAATAAGGAACTTCCATAGCCACCAGAAGAACAAACACACGATAATTAATTTTAGTTGATCTCAAACTTGTCTTAAACCAAAAATCTTATACTCACATTAATGTCTTGATTGAATATCACAATGCAAAACACTCACACATTATGTAAAAGGATTCTATCTGGAGCTGGGCGCAGTGGTGCACACCTATAGTCCCAGCTACTCAGAAAGCTGAGGCAGGAGGATCCCTTGAGACCAGCTCAAATCTACCCTGGGAAACATAGGGAAACCCTTTCAGGTAACAGGAGGAAAAATGCAGCATGATTACATTTTTCTCTTGTTAAGGCACTGTCATTTAAGTATAAACCTGGAGTATTCACAATAGAATTCAGGTTTACCAGATTAGAGCACAGTAAGCAGTGTCAGATGGCTGTGGAAGGATGCGTGTTTCCAAAATCTACAGGTCTCAAGAAGGAAAAACACAAATGGCATGCCTTATACACCTTGCTTAGTGAAGAGCTGCAGTTTAAACTGTTTAGAGTACCAAATTGTGTTAACTTTTGAAATCCCGTCAGTGCTGACTACTGAGAGTATCAAAAATCTCTTTAGAGCTGTTGTTATATTTATAATTTCTAAAAGGTGAAGGAAGACAGGTAGATGAATTTCTGTTAAAAGCCCTTCCTGCTGGGCACAGTGGCTCACACCTGTAATCCCAGCACTTTGGAAGGCCGAGGCGGGTGGATCGTCTGAGGTCAGGAGTTCAAGACCAGCCTGGCCAACATGATGGAACCCCGTCTTTACTAAAAATACAAAAATTAGCAGGGCATGGTGGTGGGCACCTGTAATCCCAGCTACCCTGAAGGCTGAGGCACAGAATCACTTGAAACTGGGAGGCGGAGGCTGCAGTGAGCTGAGAGCAAGCCACTGCACTCCAATGTGGGCGACAAAGCAAGACTTCATCTCAAAAGAAAAAAGGCCATTCCTAAGTGTTCCATGTAAGAAGAGACAGAGTATTTGCTTATGGTGTCTGTTTAACAAGCCAGCCATTTAATTTTCAATAAGATCAACAAAAAAGAAATAGATGCATAGATATGTGATTTTGAGGGGGAAAAAAAAGTCAGACTTAAAATGTAAGCAAAATATGGAAAGTGACCTCAAAAAAAAAAAAAAAAAAAAAACCGGAAAAAAAATCATGTACCCAAAAGGGTATCTGGTCTTACTCTCCACTGAGCCGCTGGCCATGGCCTGTGCTTCAAGTGGCTCTTGGTGGCAGTTCAGGACCAGGGGACCTGTAGTAAGTTATCTACCTAATTCTGTATGAGCCAACTCACCCCCACTCCCAGGATATTATTCCACATGGAAACCCTCTCTCCTCTCTTTTCCCACACCATGAGAGCCCTCTCCTTCTCAAAACCCACCTCAGTTTTCATAGCTTCCACAAAAATAAATCAATAAACAAATAACCCTGGCTTGCAGACATCTCCTTCTAATTTTACACACCCATAGCATTTACGCACTCAATGGGATAGAGCACTAAGCACACATCGGATGACTGATACAAGTATTTTCTCTGGGATTGGATCACGGATAATCTGGGATAAAAAAGAATATAAATATTATTCACTGCGTATTTTGGAAAAATCATAGTCAGCAATTCCATTATCCTAAATATAAATATTTCTGCAGAAACAAAGCCTTACTACCAGGGTTTAATCTTCATCAAAACAAACCATTACCTGTGCTTAATGGACCAGAGCTGTTGAAACCCCACAAAGAAACCAGCCCAATCTGGATGTTTGGTCTGGAAATGCTATCTGAGTATAAAGAGAACAGCTCGCTAATTACATTTTCCATGGCTGTAAGTTCTGCATGACACAAGCAAAACCACGGAATTCTCATCCAGAAGTTCTTGCCTCCCCATTTGCAGCTACCTCTCCCCAGAACTTTTGTTACTAGAGTCTGTCTTTGGGAGCTGAGATGAAACGCACTCAGTGGCTTTTCAAACCCAAAGAATGAGGCAGGGCAAAGTCCCTGACAGTCTAGGGTGGTCCTGCCCCTCACTTTGTACCCCACCACCCAATGGCATTAACTGTCTTGGATTTTGTGTCTTCGTTCCTTTTTGATGCTTTCTGGTGTGAATTTTTCCTTGTCAGGTTGGCTGATGATGGGACAGGAGCCAGAAGGGACACAGAAGCATCATAGACAGTAGCAAGGAGAGGATGTCTATAAGCACTGGGCAAACAGCTCCTAGAGAGGTAAGTGCTGAAGGCCTTCACCATCAGTGCTTCTGAGAAGATGCTTCTCCTTACTGTCCGCATCACTGCACACCTCTTCCACTCTTCAATATACTGGTTTGGGTTTTTTCCTCTCCAGCCTTAAAATATGGAACATTTCAATACAAGGTTCAGGTCTTTTTTTCATGAAAGAGATATCCTGAGCTTCCAGAGATATATTTTTTTAAATTATAATTAAAGTAATGCTGAGAAACACTTCAACAGAATCCTCTAAAATACATGTATTACTGACAAAATTATACAGCCATGATTTACAGCCACTGAAGTGGCACTGAATGTCACATCTGGTCATGAGCAATTTTATATTTAATGTCAAGCCCATGCACAGTTGGGAATGTCAGAGAAAAGACTGGCAGTCCAGTAACCCCCTAAAACATGCTCCTATATGCCACCACAGGGCTATTTTCTGGGGTAAACTGAGGTTCCTTCTAGAAATATCATCAAGGCCTGGACTGAACCCAACATCCTCTCACTTTCACCAGCGTAAACTGTCTGTCTCAACTGTGCCTGGCCCTGGGCAAATGATGGGAGTAAAAAGGGGAGGAGAGGGGGCTCCAGTCCCCAGGAGCTCACAGGCAGTGAGAAAGACGCCGTGGATACTAAATGGTACAACGCATGGGGCCACCGCTTACAGGGAGCATACAGGGAGCAGAGAGAGAGAGAAATATCAAGCATGCAAGGAGCAAAGAGAGAGAGAAATGAATTCTGCCTAGGAAGGCAACTAGAAAAAGTCCCGCGGAAGACCTAAGATTTCAATCGGGTATCAAAGGAAGAGCAGGAGTTAAATAAGAACATAAGTCAGGGAGGGAATTCTTCGGACAAAAGAATCCCTCTTGAAAAATCTCTTCCCCCCTCCCTTCCCCAGTGGTTTGGAGTGAATAAAACCAACCCAGGATTTTAAACTAGCTAACCTAGACTTTTCACTACTGTTGTGGTTTCTCCAACGGTTGTCTGTCTTCAGCTCGTCACCTATTCATAACATCTATAAAAGCAAACTACTGAATCTGCAGAGGCAGAATTTTTACAAGATTAGTAACACTAGGGTGAAATGTAATCCTGTAGATTGCCTTTCTGGTCACGTGCTCATGCGCACACACCAAGCCATGAGAGTAGACAGGAAGCTTCACGTGCTGCGCTAGGCTTCCGTTGCATTAAGCGCTTTGTACATTTTAGCATAAACTGACAAAATTCAAGGGCTATGCATCTACTTTTAAACTAAACCATTTCAGTAAGTCACTGAATACTTTATTCAGAAAACGAGATTTCTACAAGCCAATTCGTTCTTCTTACCTCCATGGGAAAAGCTTTGAAATTAACCGTGTGCTCAGAACCACGCTGGTTTTCTCTTCCCCAGTGAAATCTCACTTCGTACAGTTCAAATTCATGCCCTTGAGGCAATGGTCCTCCCGAGAGAACTGAAAAAGAAGATAAATGTTATTGAGTTACATCACACATTTATTAGCTCAGCATTATAAACATTAGAAACTTTTTTTTTTCACCAAAATGCTCTCACAGGCTCTACAGATTAAATTCATAAAGCCAAATGAGAAATGTATCACAATTGTGAGGTGAATTTAAACTATTTAGGCTTGGCTGATATTCTTGTATTGGCCATTCAGACATAGCAGAAGTTCAAATACTCTGAAAAACTCGTAATGACATATATATATATATATATATATATATATATATATATATATACACACACACACACATATATTTAAATTTCCTGTGTGTTTTCAGTTGATTAGTAGACAAGGAAAACAAATTCCTCCCTTAGAGACTTAAGCTTGGCACTGATCAAGAGACAAATATATGGCTTGACTCTGACCAGTAATATTCTGTAGACACATAAATAAATTAAATCACATTTGCAAATCATCCACTTGCACTAGTAGGCTTTCAATCTAGACAACAGGTGTGTGGACTGACAAAATTATTCGTGAAGAGGACTGATCAGCACTAAGTTAATCAACAGTGAAATCACACTTTAATAGCTGATGGACATTCATTAGCACAAACGACACTAAATAAAATTGCGATAAAATATGGACGACACTCAAAGTACTAGCATCGGTCCCACAGGACCATGTGTCTCTTTCTCTTTGCTGGATATGATCAAGAACTTTATCCCCAACAAGGACACGCTAAAGGATGATGAAAAATACATTTGCATGAGAACCTGTCTTAAAGCAATAAAATTCTTTAGTTAAAACCTCCCTGACAGCATATGTACCAACTTGAAATAAAGTTTCTTACAAAAAAAAATGGTCAATTTCAACACAAATAAAAGTTGTTTAACTCAGGTCATTTTTCCTCTGGCAACTCCCAATTCTGAACAGTATCAACTAAGAACTTCATGTTATTTAGCTAACAAAATTCAACACCTTCCCTTTCCTAGAAGCAGATGTTTTGAAACAGATCATCCTTCACACTTGGGTTGCCTTAAGGAGGACCCAGAAGATTCCACACCTCTCTCGAGGAAGAGTTCTGTCATTCATCCTTACCCTAAAACTCAAAAGAGAAGAAGGCCAATTGGGGCAACAATATTTACATGTTTGGTTGGTTCTTCATCTAACGACTTGTTCCAAAAAAGGATTTAAGGCTGCTTAGGTCAAGGTACATACAATAGAGTCAGACAGAGTAAATTAGGAAGAAGAACAAAGAGAAACAAAGAAAGAGGCAGAAAACAGACAGAGAAATGAGGCTATAGGACACAAGGGAGGTCATGGAGTCCTAGCTAAACATACCCTACAAATCTGCTCCCAAGCTTTCTACAAACTCAAATAATGAAGACAAGGAACATCCAGAGCAAGAAGTAACTTTAATTTTTCAACTGGATACATGTCACATCAAGGGGAAGGGAAAGTGAGATTCGTGACCTTTAGTATAAGATCGTCATGCATGATTTTAGATTTTAGTGTTTGCCCTCATGTCTGGTCTGATTTAGGTCACACAACAAATCCAAGGGGAGAGGGTTATCATCAACTCCACAGATAGGGCAGAAGAGCGTATGAGAGGGACTGAGTGTGACCTGCCACAGTCAGACTCCGAGCAGGCTCCAGGACAGCGCCTGGAACTCGAACCTTCTGACCCATGCACCACGGGTGAGGCAGAACAGGGAAAGCCAAATTTCGGTATCTGTGAGCATGAACCACAAAACAATGAATTATCTAAGTCTAGATTTATAAACTGAAGTTGCTCCTTGGAGAACTGCACTTCATCCTATTTCCCAGAACAATCTAAAACATTTTAATACGTGGCTCAGAAAGGTTTATAGATATTCAGAAGCACAGTGCAAGCTCACTTCACCTTCCTCTTCAATAAACATCCATTCTGTGGATTTAAGAATGTATGAAATGTTTCTAAATAACCTCACAACTCATTCCTTTCTCTTGGCTGTCCAAATTTGGTCTTAAGAAATACCAGGAAGGAGACCAGGAGTCTACCCACTGTGGACCCCACCTCCCAAACCAAAAAGAAAAAAAAAAAAACAGAAAATAAACCCCTCGTTACCCCCAACAACAGTGGGACCCAAGGCCCCAGCAGGTGAACTCTACAATGCCACTTCTAAAACAAAGCGATAAAACCGTCCTAGAAAAGGCTCAGCTCTACGTGGCTAAGGAAAGAGAAAGAGGAGTATCATGAAATGAAGCACATGTGAAATGGGAAAGAGGATTTTTAAAACTCCTTCCCCAAAACCCCTTTATCACATATACTCAGAATGCACACACACAAAGGCACATGGTATTTCTAAAAACTGTTCTGTTACAGAGCAGTTTACTAGTTGTACTAGTCAACAGCCATCTACTAGTACTGTCATATGGAAATAAATGATACAGCTTGTAGCTGGTCTTGACAGTGATTTCAAAGGACCATAAAGAGATCCATGCTTCAAAAATATACTCCCCACATGACTAATGCTCAAAATTTTCTTAACAGCAATGAAGCCTTTCACTTAAACTTGGAGACGGTTTAAATGAAACACCGTGGAAATTCAAACTGCAGAGACCCATGTTTTGATAGGAAGAACTTCAAAATCCAGGAGAATTTACTTATCCTTCCAACTGGTATTTTTTTTGGTCTTCTACTACATGTATCAGGTACTGCGTTAAGTATTTAGGATACATTGATTTTGACAAAACAGACAAAATTCCCTGGCCTTGTAGATCTTACATTCTATTAGGTTAAAGTGTAAATTCATGTATTTGTCAAGATCATATTTTTTCTGGGTCATATCTGGTTACTACATGGCAGGTTTATTAACTGTGATGTCATGATACTCAATAAAACTACAATAAAATAGTTATATTCTATGAAGTGAAGGGAACACTGAGAAGGGAAGCGTTTTGCCCCAGCCTGGTTCTCCAGGGAGAGGTGATGAAGAGGAGGCTGTCAGCCAGGAAACAGGCTCTGGGAACCTTTCATTGTTGCTGCAGATGAATAACCCAAAGTTAAACCACACTAAAGTCACATGGCCACACAATGCCATAAAAAATGACCAAATTCTGAATTCAGAGTTTTATGAGGTTCCAGGTAAGAGCATTACCCGTTCATCCCCCAAGAATGATTGTGTTTATGGACTGAAAATAAATAGCGGCTCTGTTTTATCCTTCTGGCCACATCCTCTTCAGACATTATTCTCCCTTTTCACGGCTTACATTTTTCTTTCTAGTAAAGAAATGAATCATATCAGAAGGGGCAGCTTTTTCCTACATTTATGAAAATCAAATTTTGCTGAGTAATATTGGGTCACTACACGGCAGGTGTATTAATTATGATGTCATCTGGTTCAATAAAGTTACAATGAAAAAACACGAAACTCCTACTGATGACATGCTGAATTTTTTTAGAAAAGGAACTTGTGAAAAGAATATAAAACAAACTGACACCATTGCCACAGCCTCCATTTTCTTTAATGCTCTTCAATAAAAACTTGGCAATTGCATTTATAAGACATAAAAAAGAGTTCCCTGAGGAAGCTTCTGCAAGATTTGAAAACCCCATAGAGATTTGAAATATATACCTTTATCTAAATCTATCTAAGATTCTACAATCCTTTGCTGAAAACAAATTTACCAGATAATTCAAAGGCTAGTGCTCAAGCTTTATTCCTTCTCTTTTAATTTGACTTCAACACTAAGTTTTGAGACCAACTCGATGCCTGGACCTGTGTTGATTACTGAGTGCATAAGCGAGAAAGATCCAGCCTCGGTGTTGACCAGGCAGTCTCAGTGCTTAAGGGACTAAACTGAATACTCTATATAGAACACATCAAGAACGGGAAAGGGTAGCAGGCCAACCAGCGAGGGGACAAGCCAGTAACAAGCGTGAATCATCAAGTCCGAGAAGACGTTCCCAAGAAGATGCCAGCCCAGCTGAGTTTTGAATAAGCTGAGAGGTGAAAAGTACATGCAGAGTAGAGCAAGGAGCCTGAGAAAGGCTCTCAGACATGAAGCCACTTAAGTGTGTTCTGGAAGAACAAAATCAGAAGTGAGTGAGTCAAAGGTGGCCATGAGGAGACATGCCTATGCTTAGGAGCTGGAGTTTCTCCTGCCCGGAACCATGGAGGGCTTTTAACCAGGGGACTAACATGATCATACTTGCAGTATTTAAAATACTATTTAATTTAAAGTATTTTAAGTGTTATTCGTGCAGGATCTGCACAGATGACAGAATAACAAAAGGGAAGCCTATCCAGTTAGAAAGCTGCTATCATGCCCAGTCACAGATGGTGAGGCCAGGAGATGGAGCCTGCAGAGCCATACCTCCAACACAGAGGAACCCCCACAGCAGAGGGTCCCTGGTGCACCACCCAAAGAATCTAAAGGGTTCATTCTTATTTTATTTATTGCTATTTATTTATTTATTTATTTTTGAGATGTGTCTCACTGTCACCCAGGCTGGAGTGCAGTGGTGCGATCCTGGCTCACTGCAACCTCTGCCTCCCGGGTTCAAGTAATTCTCCTGTTTCAGTTTCCCTAGTAGCTAGGATTGCAGGTGTGCCCCACCATGGCCGGCTAATTTTTATATTTTTAGTAGAGATGAAGTTTCACCATGTTGGCCAGACTGGTCGTGAACTCCTGACCTCAAGTGATCTGCCTGCCTCAGTCTCCCAAAGTGCTGGGATTACAGGTATAAACCACCATGCCCACCCCCAAAGGCTTCATTTTTAATGGGTTTAAAGACTTCATAACCTCAGAGTAACTTTGAAGGAATTCCAACTCTATCTCTAAAACTTCCCTCAAAATAGTATTAATTGGTTCTTTTTTAACATTTGAAGCCTTAAAAGCAAAAAATTTTCAATATTTTTAAAGTGTTTTTGGCTTTTAACCTATGGTTCTATTAAACATCTTCAGCTCTTAAGGGTAAAGATCACAACAATAGCACAGAGAGTGGGCCAGGCAAAGTGAAG